CCGGCAGATCAGCGGGCGCAGGGAGATGCAGGGGCTGCAAGGGCGGCTCTGGCCCCGCTCGCCTGCAGAGAGGATTTCTAACCCACCCCCCCCCAAGCCTGGCCAGTGGAGGGGCTCTGCCGTGGCCCCCACTGGGCCCCTGCCGCCATTTGCAGGGCGAGAGCAAAGCTGGCCCTGCATGCACCCCAGGGATGCACGGGGGGGGCCCCACAGGTGCTGCAGGCCAGACCCCAGGGCAGGTGGGGGTTTGGGGGAAGGAGGTGGGGGCCAGTCCAGGCTGAGCCCCCCACCTTCATCCAGGGCATCTGGGGACACGGCTCAGCCCTTCTCCCTGCTGGAGCATCCCCTGGGTAAGCGGGTCAGGGCTGGTACTGTGTGTGATGCTGGGGGCTGGGTGTCCCCCTGCCCGGGGGCTCTGCCCTCCTGCCACCCTGGGGAACCGTGCAGGGCAGTGGCACCACACAGGGCCCACCCAAAATGTGCAGGTGTTTGGGGTTGGAAGGTGCTGGGGCAGCTGGCAGCGTTGCTCCTCTCCATGTCCCCATAAGGGCCCCGTGTGGGTCACCCTTGAATTGTCACCATGAGCTCCCATCCACGCTTGCCTCCACCTGGGAGAGAAGGCCAGTGGGTCCCTGTGGCAGGGACGGCGCAAGGACGTGGCAGGCAGTGACACGGGGCCCGTTGTGCCAGGAAACCCCACACTGCAGCCTGCCCCATCATGCGTGGCAGGGACCTGGGGCTGCACAGGGACAGCAGCGCCCGGCACCACCTCCCCGTGCTGGACTGCGTCACCTGCTGCCACCCGGGAGCAGGTGCTGGGGCCTGTACCTGTGCTGAGGACCCTACCCCGGGGATAACCCCGGCAGAGGGGCTGCACTGTGCCATGCACCTGGCTGGCACAGGAGGAGGAGCGGCTGAGCTGCCACCCTGAAGCCATCCCTGTCCCCGTCCCCATCCCCGGTGGGTGTCACAGCCCCAGGACGTGCAGCACTCTGAGGTCTGTGCCACAGCCCCCAAGCTGGAGCCATCCCAGCGCCAGGGCCCGGGACTGAGCTCTCGCCAGCGAAAACTGGGTCACGCCGTGTCTCCCGGGGTTGGCTCCGGCACTGCGTCCCCGGAGCGGTGACCCTTGTCCCGCCTGGTGCTGGGGCAGGGCTGCGGCTGGGGAGCCCTGCTGAGCCTGCAGCACCCGTCCCCCGGCTGGGGGGCGATTGCTTTAATTAGAGTCATTTCATTAGCGCAATTAAGAAGCAGCAGTCGCCTGGAGAGCGTTGGAGCAGCACGCTGGCTCCCGGGGAAATGGGGGGCTGTTTCGCTCCAGCGGTGTGGGCAGTCTGGGAGGTCCCCCTGCCCAGTGAGCCCCTGGGGATGAGGGGCACGGGGATGCCCATGGCCCAGGCGGGGATGGGGACATCCCCGGGGCAGAGGGACAGCAGGATATGCCCAAGAGCAAGACGGGGACTTGCTGCACGGCAAGAGCCCGGGCACCGGAGATTCTACACCCCACCCCTGCCCAGCCCCAAACACCTCCGGGGTGCCTGGTCCCAGCCGGCACCTTTGGGTGCTGCACCCCAGGTTTGTGTTCCCGGGAGTGGCCTCCCCAAAACCCATGCCCTGATCTGGGGTTCATCCCCACTGCCTCCTGCCCCGGCAACATCTGACTGCCCCTCTCTGGGCACAAGGCTTCTGCCCCAGCTGGGTGCTGGGGGGCAGAGGCTGAGCCCCCCCCCCCTCCCCCCCCGCCTCAGCCCCGAGCCGTGTCCCCAGGCCAAGGCACGGGTGCCGGGTGCGACCTGTTGGGGGGGGCGGGGCCCACGGGCGCACACCACCGCTGCCAGCGGGCAGCGGGGATTCCTCGGGGCTGGCTGGGTGCCAGGCTCCGGGCTTGGCACAAACAATCACAGCCCCAGCGTGCGGCTCCCCAGGGCCCGGGGATCCTCCAAGCAGCCGCTCCGCTCACGCAGCCGCCCGCCCCCGGCTCAGGCAGGGGAACACGTGCGCCCGCCGCAGCCCACGTCGCCCGCCGTGCTCCTGGCCCCGGTGGAGGGGGGCTGCCGGCAGCTGCTGCCTGGCGACTGGGGAGCAGGCCAAATCCCAGAGGTGGGGGCTTTTCCAGAGCTTGCAGCTGCATCAAGCTGTGCAGAGCTCTGCGCACTGCGCCGGGGGCATCCATGCCCCCCACTGCTGCGCCGTGCCCTTGCTCCGTGCCCGAGCGGTGGGTGCAGCCCAGCCTGACTGTGCCGAGCTGTGCTGGGTGCTGGCAGCCACCATTGCACTCTCCCCCCCTTCCCCATGGGGCTGGCAGTTGCTGTGGGGAGCAGGGAGAGCCTTTTGGGGTGCAGTGCATGTGCATCTCTTGGGGGAGCTCAGGGGTGGGGATGCTCTCCGAGATACCAGCAAATGTTGGCTGCTTTCCCTGGCTGTTCCAGCCGGGAGCCTCGCGCCTGCAGGAGGGCACTGGGGGGGGCTGAGATCCAGCCACCCCAGTGCCCCCTGAGCCCTGCTCCCTCCCGGCAGGCCGACATCGAGCAGCTGGACCCCCGAGGACGCACCCCGCTGCACCTGGCCACCACGCTGGGCCACCTCGAGTGCGCCAGGGTGCTGCTGAAGCATGGCGCCGACGTGGGCAAGGAGAACCGCAGCGGCTGGACAGGTGAGCGGGGGGGTCTCGCTGCCTCGGTCCTCCATCATGTTTCCCTGGCACGGGCACAGGCACGGGCACGGGCATGGACATGTTCAACCTGGTACTGCATCTCCCCAAGGGACAGCTCACAGGGTGGTATATGCATGTGGCTCCTGTGCAGTGGCCGACTCTGCTGTGTCGTGCCATGCCACGCTGTGCCGTGCCGTGCCGTGCCACCCCCCCGGGCACTGCCCCTCTCTGCCCTGCAGTCCTGCAGGAGGCCGTGAGCACCCGCGACCTGGAACTGGTGCAGCTGGTCCTGCGCTCCCGCGACTACCAGAGAGCCATCAAACGCCTGGCCGGGATCCCCATCCTGCTGGAGAAGCTGCGCAAGGTACCTCCCTCCGATGGGGCCACCGGGGCGGAGGGGGGGATGCCGGCCACAGGCTCCTCCTGACCCTGCTGTGCTCTCCACAGGCCCAGGACTTCTACGTGGAGATGAAGTGGGAATTCACCAGCTGGGGTAAGCTCAGGGCAGAGCGTAGCAGGGGGGGAGTGGGAGTTTCCCAGCAGAGCCTCCCCCATCTCTGGCGCTGCCCCCAGCTCCAGTATCCATCCCCATCCCCAGGATGGGGGGCACCTGTCCCCTTCCCCCCCTACACCCCAAGTTTGCAGACCCCCATCCCACTGAGGCTCCGGGTTCTCGGGCATATCCCCCACCTGGCTCAGAGCTGGCAGCCCAGCCGGGGGTGCAGGGTGGCCCCGTCCCTGGCTGGGCTATCGCCGTCTCTCCCCAGTGCCGCTGGTGTCCAAGATCTGCCCCAGTGACACCTACAAGGTGTGGAAGAGCGGCCAGAACCTGCGGGTGGACACCACGCTGCTGGGCTTCGACCATATGACCTGGCAGCGGGGCAATCGCAGCTTCGTCTTTCGGGGACAAGGTGAGTCGGCACCAGGGTGTCCCCCCCTCGCCGGGGAGCACTGGCAGAGCCCCTTGGCACTGCAGCAGGGCTGGGTGACATGGTGGGGACCGTGGTTGTCCCCACGTACCTTGACCCCCCTTCTCCTAGACACCAGCGCAGTGGTGATGGAGATTGACCACGACCGGCGGGTGGTCTACTCGGAGACACTGGCCCTGGCCGGCCACGACCAGGAGGTGCTGCTGGCTGCTGTGCAGCCCACCGAGGAGCAGGTGATGGGGCGGCTGACGGCCCCTGTCGTCACCACCCAGCTCGACACCAAGAACATCGCCTTCGAGAGGTGGGCTGGAGGCAGCACCGAGACACCAACCCCCCACCCCCCCCCAAGGGCGCACAGCCCCCTGGGGTGTCCGCACCCTGGGCTGTCCGAGCAAGACCATCCATCGCTCACAGTGCCCTGTGTCACCCCAGGAACAAGTCCGGGATCCTGGGCTGGAGGAGCGAGAAGACGGAAATGGTGAATGGGTACGAGGCCAAGGTGAGGGGCAGGGGGGTTGAGCCGCCTGAGGCGGGTATGGCTGGTTCGGGGGGCGGTATCTACCTCTGGCATTCCCCCTCCTCGGCCAGGTCTATGGTGCGTCCAACGTGGAGCTGATCACGCGGACGCGGACCGAGCACCTCTCAGACCAGCACAAGGGCAAGAGCAAAGGTGGAGCTGGCGCAGGCTGGGCGGGCAGGGGGCTGTGCTGGCTCCAGTCCTCACCCCCTCCTCTCCTGCAGGCAGTAAGACCCCCCTGCAGTCCTTCCTGGGCATCGCTGAACAGCACGTGGGTCCCAACAACGGGGTGAGTGTCCTGGGGGTCCTGGTGGGTGGGTGGCCCCCGCGGCCGGACCTCCCCGTTACCCTGCCGAGGTGTCCCGCAGACGCTGATCACGCAGACGCTGAGCCACGCCAACCCCACCGCCATCACCCCCGAGGAGTACTTCAACCCCAACTTCGAGCTGGGCAACAGGGACATGGGGCGGCCCATGGAGCTCACTACCAAGACACAGAAGTGAGAGGGGAAGGAGCAGATTGGGGACCCACCTGTCATCCCCCCCGATCACTACAGAGCCCCGGGGGGGGGGGCAGGCAGGAGTCCCCAGCCCAGCACCTGTCCCCGGCAGGTTCAAGGCGAAGCTGTGGCTGTGTGAGGACCACCCGCTGTCCCTCTGCGAGCAGGTTGCCCCCATCATTGACCTCATGGCAATAAGCAACGCGCTCTTCGCCAAACTGCGGGACTTCATCACCTTGCGCCTCCCGCCCGGCTTCCCTGTCAAGATCGGTACGGGGGGGGTCTTTGCCGCCGGCACGGG